TTTTTGTTTCAGTAAGTATAAGGATTGCAGTAGATTGAAACACATCAAATATGTTTAAATCCACGAGTTCATAATGATGTTAAGAAAGGAGAGACTATTTGGTCACCTTGGAGGATGACAGTGAACCAATTCATTCTCTTGAAAACTGGGCAAATAAGGGAAAATGAGAGCTTATCCTGTCATCCACATGAAATTTACCACTGAGCACTGACTAGAAATTGTTCCAGCTAGTAATGCAGGGGAAACAACAGAATAGCACCACTCTTGCGCCTCCCAGTCAATCAGTGGATTTCAGCACTGGGTGTCAGCAGCTGTAGGCATCACAGAAAGACACAAGGAGACACCATGTGCCTTCTGTGAAAGAACAGGCTCCCACCTTCAGGATTACAGCAGGGGTCGGTCCTGGGTCTGTTCAGGCTGCTGTGCCTCACCATGAGCAGAGCATGTGTCAGTGAAATCCCTTTGGTGTAACCAGCAGTTGTATGTCCTGGGTTCTTCAACAGAAAAATGAAGAAATAAGGGGAACCTGTGGGTTAAGAGAGACTTAGAGACATACCAAATTAAAGAGCACTGAGCCAAAGTACAGTGCTTAGGGATGCACACTTGGGTGACAGAACCATGAAGAAATAAACAGAAGGCAGAGTTGTGGTTATTCTTGGGGACTGAGAGAGAGGTGTGACTGGAGCAGGGAGTGGAGGGACTTCCCTGTGGGTGGCAAAGTTCTGCCCACCCTGTCTTACATTCAACTCTTCAGCTCTGTGTTTGAGTTTGGGGCTCTTTGTATCTGCCATGTGCTATACCAGAAGATTAACATTGAATAAAACTATAGCTCTCCAGACCAGAGGTTCTGCTTTGGGGGATCTGAGGTGGGTCTGGAAGCTGCCCCTCCCTGTGCCCAGTGCTGGAGAAACTGGAGTACCCTGAATGCCCCTCAGGGACCTGGGCTGAGTCCTCCTTCAGTAGAGAAGGACAGTGATACTGTCTCCTGTGGGATTAAACGTTGATCAGGTGTTTGGTGTCACTGCCTTCCTCTAAGAGCAGCTGCTACTGTCATCAAGGTGATCATCCTTGTTATTTTTTTGGTGGCTGGCTGGTATAGGGGTAAACGTTGATCAGGTGTTTGGTGTCACTGCCTTCCTCTAAGAGTAGCTGCTACTGTCATCAAGGTGATCATCCTTGTTATTTTTTTGGTGGCTGGCTGGTATAGGGATTGAACCCTGGACTTTGGAATTATCAGCACCATGCTTTAACCAGCCAAGCTAACTGGTCAGCTTCATCCTCATTTTTGTTATTTTGTATTGAGTGAGTACTTTGTTCTCCTCACTGTGCTTTCTTCCTGGAATTTCTTGAATCCTTTTGAAGGTAACTCTGAAGTGGGGAAAGTTGTTAGTCTTACTTCTATGAGAAGGCGAGGCTGAGGGAAGCTAAGTGGCTTCCTAAGCTGACTCCCCAGTTGGCCCTTCTCCACCCATGCACTGCACAGACTCTCAAACTTGAGTGTGTCACAGCCAGCCAGGGCTTGTGAAACGCTGATTCCTGGACCTCACTCAGAGATTCAGTATGAAGTAGGTTTAAATAGGGCCCAGGAAACTGCAACATAAAAAAAAGAACCCCACCTTTTGAGTCATTAAACCTTCATCCGTGTAGCAATATGTTGAGCATCTACTTAGAAAAAAGTAGTGCATGCATACAGCTGTAGAAAAGTCAAATTGCTTAAGGCTTATAGAAAAAAATAGTCCTCCCCCCCTTCATGCCTGCCCTTCCTTACTTCCAAGCTTTCTTCTGGAGGCAGGAACCCCTTCCACTCACTCTTTGGAATTTCACTCCTTGATTCTAGACCAGGTGCTCATGCAATTGCTTTGCCAATTGCAGATCTAAGGGAAGGTCAGGATTCGGCTCCCACAGCCTACCCCACTCTCCCCATTTAGTTACTGCTGTACCACAAGTTTTGATAGTCCCTATTCAGAATTCATGTCATTATGACTGTGTAAATGCTATACATAGCTGAATCACGTGGTGCCTTATACTTTCTCTTGACAACTTTGAAAACAAAGCATTTATTTTAATTAAAGGAGTATGCACACTTGTAGGAGTCAGTATGGCTCAATTTACAGTGAAAAGCAAGCTTCTTTCCCACCCTGGCCCCTTCAGTCCCCCAGCCACACTGCCTCGGGGCAAGTAGCTTCTGATGTTTGGGTTTTTCTTCTCTCTTTCTACATCTCTAAGTAATGTGCTTTGTTTTTTTTTTGTTTTTTTTTTAAAGATGGCCAGTAAGGGGATCTAAACCCTTGACTTTGTGTTGTCAGCACCACGCTCTCCCATGTGAGCTAACCGGCCATCCCTATGTAGAGATCCGAACCTGTGGCCTTGGTGTTATCAGCACCACAGTCTCCCAATTGAGCCATGGCTGGCCCCATCTAAGTAATGTGCTTTTAACTTATGATTTCTTTCTTGATTTATGTTGACATCAAAATGGGCTCCATGTAATCTCTTCAGAAGTTCCCCTACTTCCTACTTGGATTTTTTTCCTACCTGGATTTTTTTCTTCTGCCCTAGGTGATTCAAAGGCCATATTCTAATAGGCTTGCCTTAGAATAGTGATTCTCAAACTTGGCATGTCAGAATCAACTGAGGGCTTGTTAAAGCACAGCAGGGCTAGGTCCCCACGCCAGAGTTGATGATTCAGTAGGGCCTGAGCATTTCTAATAAATTCCCTGGTGATTCTACTGCTACTAGTCCAGGGATCCCTCTTTCAGGAGTGCTCCCTTAGAGTGTAGGGTATGCTGCATGTGGGGTAGAAGTATCATCATTTATCAGTGGAGGAGCTCAGAATGGCTGTTTCTTGGACCCAGACTACCGAAGCAAAATCTTGGCTTTGCCACTTCCTGATTGTGTAGTCAAGGGCCATGATCCAACTTCCTGGTGCCTTGGTTTCTCATGTAAAGACCCATCTTAATGAGCACTTGTGCATCAATGCTTGAGTTTAGCATTGATGCTCAAGTGTGCAGCACTGTACTTGGAAGGTCATAAATCTACATGTATGCCAACATTATCTCAGAGATCTATTTGGGCACTTTGTGCTGGGCACTGTGCTAGATGTTGGGATACAGAGACCTGGCACCTGCCCTTGTAGGAGTTTACAGTCTAATGAGGGAGGGAGCTAGAAAACAACTTTCCATAGGTAATTATGATATATGCTTTGAAAGAAACCTGCAGGGTGCATCTGGGGTGCATGAGGGGGCGGGGCCAAGGCCAGTGAGGAGAGCAAATGCCCTGGAAGGTGCATACAGACAAGACTCTGAAGAGCTGAACGAGTTGGGGAATAGGCAGGATCTCATCCTCCCTGAGAGACAGCCCAGGGACAGGCATGGTGCTAATGTGTGAAAGGCTTTGTTGGGCTGCCCTAAGCTCTGGTGTCCTCAGTTTGCAGATGTCGAGACCAAGTCCTCATGCTCTTTAATTGTCCACACTGGGCAAACAGGACTCCCCAAACCAGGGGCCAGTATCAGAGCATGTGTAATAGTGGATACTTTATGTGGGGGTTGCACTCTGTATTATCTGTTTTTGCCTTGCTATAAGGCCTCAGGCTGCTTCTACTCAAGGTGGAAAAGCTGCAGGCAACTGGTGGGTACAAGCAGATCACATGGCAAGAGCAAACAAGAGGGCCTGCCTGTGGCTCACTTGGGAGAGTGTGGTGCTGATAACACCAAGGCCAAGGGTTCAGATCCCTATATAGCGATGGCCTGTTAGCTCACTTGGGAGTGTGGTGCTGACAACACCAAGTCAAGGGTTAAGATCCCCCAAGAGCAAACAAGAGAGGGGAGGTGACAGGGTCTTTTAAATAACCAGCTCTCTTTGGAACTAATAAGAGTGAGAACTCACTCACTACCCTTGTTAGCTCACTTGGGAGTGTGGTGCTGACAACACCAAGTCAAGGGTTAAGATCCCCCAAGAGCAAACAAGAGAGGGGAGGTGCCGGGGTCTTTTAAATAACCAGCTCTCTTTGGAACTAATAAGAGTGAGAACTCACTCACTACCCTCACCCCCCAGGGAGAGCATTAATCCATTCATGAGGGATCTGCCCCCATGACTCAAACCATTCCCAACACCCCCACATCAGGGATCAGATTTCCACATGAGTTTGGGGGGACAACACATCCAAACTATCACACTCCCAGGTAGTGGGGCTGGGCAGGGCGGGACTCCTATGCTGGTCTTTGATCCCATTAACTGGTCTGGTTCACCCCTCATCTTCTCTATCCTCCACCCTGCAGCCCAGATTGTCTTTCTTAAAACCCAAATGTGACACCATCACTCCCTACTGTTTACACCTTTAGGGTGTTGAAACCCATTGCCCCTGGGCTGAGGCACAAGCATCTGGTGGCTGCATTCATGTCTGGTCCTTTGCTCCTGGGCTGACCTCTTCTTGGAGCCTCTCTGCCCCCAGCCTGGTGCTTTGGGTTTCAGGTGTCAGTGCTTCCTGTGAGCTTTCCTTAGACCTACGTCCTTTACTCACTTAAAAAAATATATATATATTGATTGCTTTATTTAACAGGTTTTTATGGAGGCCCTTCTCTGTCTCAGGCACTGTTCTAGATGTTGGGGGAAACTTCAGTGGATGGAAAGTCCTAACCCCTCACGTCTAAGTGGGGTAATTACCTAGAAAAGTAATGAACACATAAATATTTCATAAAATGCCAGGGAGTGATCAGTGCTTTCAGGAAACTAGGATGGGGTGAAGACTGGGTGTATGCAGAGAGCTTCGTGTTGACTCGTCCCAGCTGCTTTCAGAGGCGTGTGCTGCCATTGTCTCTGCTAGAGGGAAGCCAAAAAGGCACCCGGCACAGATATGTGAGTTACCCAAGGCCACCCTTCTTAGGTGGAAGAGTCAGGGTTACCCCAGCAATGGCTGGCCCTAGGCAGCCCTAGCGCATGCACAGGTACCCCACGGGGCCCTTTCCTCTCTGACTCGCCTCTCCTCCCACCCTCTTGCCTTTCAGTGGACATCCTCATCATGGATGACGACGACGTCCCCAGCTGGCCCCCGACCAAGCTGTCCCCTCCCCAGTCCGCGCCCCCAGCTGGCCCCCCGCCACGGCCACGGCCACCCGCCCCCTACATATGCAACGAGTGCGGCAAGAGCTTCAGCCACTGGTCGAAGCTGACGCGGCATCAGCGCACGCACACGGGCGAGCGGCCCAATGCCTGCAGCGACTGTGGCAAGACCTTCTCCCAGAGCTCACACTTGGTGCAGCACCGGCGTATCCACACTGGCGAGAAGCCCTATGCCTGTTCTGAGTGCGGCAAGCGCTTCAGCTGGAGCTCTAACCTCATGCAGCACCAGCGCATCCACACTGGCGAGAAGCCCTACGCTTGCCCCGACTGCGGCCGCAGCTTCACGCAGAGCAAGAGCCTGGCCAAGCACCGGCGCTCGCACAGCGGCCTCAAGCCCTTCGTGTGCCCGCGCTGCGGCCGCGGTTTCAGCCAGCCCAAGAGCCTCGCACGCCACCTGCGGCTGCACCCAGAGCTGTCCGGGCCTGGTGTGGCGGCCAAGGTGCTGGCGGCCAGCGTCCGCAGAGCCAAGGCACCCGAGGAGGCAGCGGCGGCGGACGGCGAGATTGCCATCCCGGTGGGCGATGGCGAGGGCATTATTGTGGTGGGCGCACCAGGCGAGGGGCCCACGGCAGCCACAGCCATGACGGGCACGGGGGTCAAAGCGGCGGGGCCCCGGTCGCGGCGCGCCCCAGCACCCAAGCCGTACGTGTGTATGGAGTGCGGGAAGGGCTTTGGGCACGGGGCCGGGCTCCTGGCTCACCAGCGGGCCCAGCACGGAGATGGGCTTGGGGTGGCGGGGGGCGAGGAGCCCGCCCACATCTGCGTGGAGTGCGGGGAGGGCTTCGTGCAGGGCGCCGCACTCCGGAGACACAAGAAGATCCATGCAGTGGGCGCGCCCTCGGTCTGCAGCAACTGCGGTCAGAGCTACTACCGGCCTGGTGCGGGGGAGGAGGAGGAGGAGGACGAGGCGGCCAGCGGTTGGTGCGAAGAGTGCCGGGGCGGGGAGGGGCGGTAGGGGA